CTCTTTAGTGAGATCTCTGCAGGCGGCCTAATACTTTGTAGAGGTAGCAATACAGACCACAAGAACCCTGTCTTCCTTGAGCAAAGTAATCTGAAAGTATCTACAAATCCAGTGTGCTCATTGAAGCTATCCTATTTTGTGTACTTTACTTTGACACATTTAAGGCGATACTCTGCAACTGTCGCTGTTGTTGGAAAGAAAGGTTTGATAAAGGGCCAAGTTCTAGAGGAAGTTATTCTTTTCATACATAGTAAAGTGGGCCAGCACTGTTTTGTTCTCCGTCTTGCACAGGGCTTTTAGAGTTATGAACAGAAGCTGAAGGCTGAATGAGAGGCAGCAAGGAGTGCTACTTAATACCAAATCCTTTATTGTGCCATCTTTTGTGTGCTGTCACACACTGAATGAATGGGACTGAGTCTTCCTGCAGGCTAAGCTCAACTATTCTATCCTAATTCTCCCCACTGCCCCACTCCGATCACTATGGCCTGCAGTAAAAAAAAAAAAAAAAAAAAAAAAAGGGTTAACAAAGACAAAAACATTTTGAGACAGAAGTTGCCCACAATCCACAGCACATTAAAATAATCCTCTATATATACTTTATATTGCCTGTCTGCAAATAAGCAAGTCCTGACTCAGACTCACTGATGGCTCCTTTTCCTTTTCTGGTCTTTAGAGCTCTGGTCTATATCACTCTCAGTTCCCAAAACACTCTCTACCTTCCCTTATCTCTCTCCCAGACCCGGCTCTCCATCCTCCCGCCTGTGCTGCTCCAAGTTGGGCACGGGGCCCAAACTATATGAGGAGCTTCACCCGCCTCCCCACCTCGCTGCCCTTTGCCATTGCTATCGCGCCGTATAAGAACCAGACCTGCTCGGACTGCACTTAGCTCAGAGGCTAACACTAACCAGCCACAGATGTTTACATTGGGAGAGAAGGGGCAGCAGATGCGGTCTCACTCAATAAAACTTGCATCTCTCCCACTCTCCCTTTGTCTCTCTCTTTTTCTGACTTTCTCTCTTTCCTGCAAGTCTGCAAAGAACCCAGGGGAGCTCTTTAGTTCTGTGGGTGTGACAACCTTGCTCTCAGGCTTTATTTGCCTCATTCCCTGCTCTCTCTGTGCTGTGAGTCACCTGGGTTTCCCCTTTAAAAAAAAAAAAGACATTTCTGTTTTCCAATTTTTTAAACTGCCAGATACTGAGCAGTGAAGCTTGAGACTTGATTATTACTGAGGCGAATGTTATTTACAGATAGTGCGCGGAAGTGTTTTGTGTGCAAAGCTCCCTTCATTCAGGTGAATGTTAGCACACCTGAGTCTTCTTTATTTGATGATAAAAAAAGAGACACAACCCAGGAGAGGAATTCCAGCAGCAAGAACAGACAGGAATATCTCCAGGTAACACACGGCAAACAAAACTCAGGCAGTCCAACCCTTGAGAAACTGGTAGACAGTCAGAAATAGCAGGCTTGAGAAGTGTTTGGCCTCATTAGGAAATGTGAATTCTGTATGCCAATGTAGGGCAGAGCTGACATGAAAGGGAGATTTTCTTTTGTTACACCCGTCACCTACTCTTGTGAAAGATTCCCAAAGTTGGAAAGTGTCAAAATGCTTCTAATCAGACTGCAATGATTTTGTACAGAAGCATGATGTGTGGTCCGATATGAGCTCATCTACAGAGTGACAACAACACTAAACAGCACATAAACCTCTGACATTAAACTGCTCTGTGATACCTCAAAACTTTTTATTCTTAAAAAACACTTTGGTCTCTGTCTCAGCCTACAACATTAGATGGTTAGAAAGTCAGCAGTGCATGTTGCTAATAGAAGGCAGATTGCAGGGGTCTGCAGCGGTAATGTCTTGGCAGAAAGCAAGCGCTTCAGTGGATCAGTGTTTTAGCCTGCAGGCCCTTTTCAGGAGGTCTGAGAAGTGGCAGGTCACTATACAGTCTAAGCCTATTTAAGAAGGAGCATACCAGCACCTCCTGCAGTTCCACAGAACAGGGAGGGAGCTGCTTTGAAAACATTTTAGGAGAAAGGATCATAAAACACACTGCTGCACAGCCTACTAAACATGGCATGGTGAATCCAAAAACATTACTCATAATTGCTTTAATAATCCTCGCTCCCTGTGTAAGCTGGCAAACACAATTTGCAACATGTCTTTGTGACAACAGTGTTTCTGTGCAAATTTCTGTTCCTCAATATTCTCAGAAGTAAATTCATTCATTACAAAACATGGGGGATAGTGGTGTTTGTTTTGCAAAAGACGAGCCCAGGGTAGCGCCTTAAATGCAATTGTTTGGAATGATCCCTTCTGACATAATTGTTTGTGGTTAGCTGGTTAAACATGGTAGAGGCTGTGTGCATTTTCTCAGGCAGCGTGACACAACAGTATCATTATGTGCCCAGTGGGAAGGAACCTTCCGTGAACCTCCAGGGTTTTACTCTCCCACAACCAACTGAGGGGGTTGGTGTAGTAGCCTGTATGAAGGCATGCATATGAAACAAATAAAGGGAGTGAATGCAATATCTGGTCAACTAGGCACACATGGCATTATGGAGGATGTGAGAGATCAGCGCAAATGTCTGCAGCCCTCGTCCAAAACTCTCAATAAATGAAACATCAACAAAAGAGAGACCAGCGGCTTTCCCTGCACTTAACAAAAACATCTGATGTGCATTATTCCTGACAGAGCATCAGACTCAGGATGAACAGCTTGGCTTTTTAATAGAATGAGTTTCCTCTGCTCTTTGTCAGCGTCCATTGACAAAAGGCTCTGAGGGAGGCAGTCAGTCAAGATTTGCAAAAGGTGACTAGAAACGTCTTCTAAAGGATGAATAACAACATTAGAATGTGGAGGTAAGACAGATGACACATGTGTCTGTACCTCCCCCTAGTGGCCAAATCATTTGCTACTGAGGAGGACAAAAGCATGAACATAGGCAACACTGTAAATGTTACAGAAGCAAGCATATATTCCCCAACTGCACAACAGCTTTTCAGAGTTTTAAGACCATAATAACTTGCTGGAAGTAGTGTGTGAAGCAGTTGTACTGTTTGGGAGAAGCACAAATATACTTGTTTATCATGAATGCTGAAAATAGAAGCTGAAAAGCCTTAATGAAATGCAGATTCATCTTACTCTTTATTCTTCAGCATCTTGTGCGTATTCTAAGTGGTAAAACATTTTTCTTAAAAGTAATTATGAGGTTTTGTGGTCAGTTAAAGGCACCCAAAAGCCCCATTTGCTCAGACACAAGATATTTTATAGCATATGACATGTGTGCATGTTCACAAGATACTAAAGAATATGATTAACAGATGTTTAGATGATAAGCTTTTACTCTTGTTTGGTCACCATTTTTTGTGTGATTAGACCATCCTCCTTTGTTGAATGTGGCCATGCCAAACTGGAATAGCTAAATTACTCTAACTTAACACCGGGTTTTATGAGGTAACAAGGGTACAGCTTGGAAAACTTAAAATCCTTACAGAACTTGTCCAAAACACTTCAAAAAGACAAATATGTTAAATATAATAACTCAACATATTTTCTTGGTTATATTTTTGAGCTTTTGTATGCAGTGTCTTCAATGTATGTTAATTCTCAGCTTAATTCAAACAGTAGGCTCACAAAAAGTTTTAACTGTTGCACATACATATCGAACGTTTTAATATAACACAATACTATTTAACACTATGATACACCGTATATGAATCTAATACAACACTGCATTACAAGGGCCAAGGGACTCGTTTTCACTTACCTTAATGACAACTTTGAGAGGAGCCATCCTGCGAAGAACACAGCAGTCTGAGTTTCACCTGAAACAAGAGTATAGTCATGGATTACACATGGTAGCCTACAAACAACTCTCTCCAATGATCATACATCAAAGGCAACATATAATAATTGGAGACTTAGTTTACCGCCCTGCTAAGAAAATAACACTCTCTGGTTTATCATAGACACTTATGCAGTGTCTGTGGTGCTCCACAGTTAACCTAGTTAATAGCGATCTTACCATTATATTCATATGTTGCATCAATTACTTAGTAGGACACAGTATTCAGTTTCTCATAGGTATTTATTAGGGTTCTTCTAAACGCAATTTACTGTAATGTTAGTCCTTTTGATGGTGAAACAATTATCAGCTAACAATTGTTAGTTAATGTTAACATAATATGCTTTGAGATTACTTCACTCTACTATAGACAAGTTGAGCGGATCGACATGATTTAAATGGTTGTTGCTACGTGATGTTTTAATAGTATCGAAAAGTTTAGCAGTCATCTTAACAGCTGAGCTTGATTTACTGCTAAGAAACACCAGGGTAGCGCTAACGTTAAGACATAAATTGCAAATGCCACATTAATTACACTACAATAGCATTATATACAACTATGTTTGGTATATCGTTGTGTAAGTTCATTAAAATTAAAAAGACTTTTCATACCGCCAAGAGTTTTGAATGTTTGTCAAGCGAGAGGGTTGCAGGAGATGACGTCACATTTCGTTTGTAGTCCTACAACTGCAAAGCCCCCAAGTCTGAGTCGGAGCTTTCAGCGGCAGGCTTCTGTCAAAAAATACTTCAGAAACACTGAGTTGTGAATTTGTCGTCCATCTGGAGCCTGAAGTTATAAAGTTTTTGGTTTTCTGTCTTGACAGCAACAATTTCTACAGACTTGCGAGAGAATGCGACTCTTGATTGAATAGGCCCCCACTAGGACCGAACGCTCTGACCACTACCATGGAAACGAGTTGAATATTGAAAAAGCCTGTATTAATCTCGACATTATACGTTGCTGAATCGTACCTTAAATATTACTTCAGCGAACAATAGCTACTATAAATGAAATAAATATTGATTGGTTTGTTTTAGTATAGTACATATAGGTATTATGCAAATAAAAGTGTGTCATTTTGGTCAGGCAATGGTGTAAGTCTCACTATCAGAGTGTTGGCGAGCAAAGGCGCTTAACATTGAAGCACCAAACGTAGCGTTTTCTATCAAATTTCGCAGAAGATTCCAAAATGACACCATGGTCGCTTATATTTCGTTTCAAGTAAACTCAGTGTTTAACGTTATGCCAAGCGATTTAAAATGCTCCAAAACTGAACCTGCTTTGCCATTGCTTCAGGAAATTACTGCGTAAGTGATGTCTCGACTTGTCAAGAAATCTCCATCTCTTTGTACGGATCTACCACTGGACAACACTGATATTTGTAACAAACTTAATTTGCTGAGGAAGCTTCTGACATCTTGTTTTGGTCCGACAGGTAGACTAAAACAGGTTCATAACAACATTGGAGGGCACGTCGTTACCACTTCGTCCTCCTCAGTTCTCCTTCCAGCCATTTCCTCCTCACAGCCTTTTGTCAATCTGATAAAAACCTCGATTCTCAACCACGTTTCTCGTTTCAGTGACTGTGGTTTATTTGCTGCCATTCTTTGTTTGGCTCTTATTGAGCAAGCAAAGCAATCTGGTAACAGAGGAAATGTGGCTATCAGACTGAACAAGCACTTGCTGGGTCTGTGCGTCAGTTACCTACAAGAAGACGACTGTGGTTGCAAAGTGAAGCTTGACTTCTGCAGCAGCCAGAACCTGGTCACATTAGCTCGCAGTATTATCTCGAGCAAACCAGCATGTGTGTTAACACAGCAGGAGACACTTCACATCAGCAAGTTGGCTGTGCAAGCTTTTTTGCTCACTGTTCCTTGTGACAGCCCAGGTACAGTCACACTGGGCAAGACAGTGACTGTCTCTGTTGAAGGCCATTCTGTGCTAAACTCTACAGTGTTTCCAGGTTTACTGTTGGACATTACAGATGTGCTTTGCCTCAACAAGGCAGAGAACCTGAATTCAAATCCACTGTGTACGGTGTTGTTCAGTGCATCCCTTGCCGGAGATCTTTCTGAACTAGGAGATGGGATAATTGAGGTGCATTCGGGAGCAGAGACAGACTCACAGATCCTGGATCAACTCCTGGAGCTCGGCAAGCAGGTGGTTAAAGATGAGGTGAAGCTCTTTGTATGCCAGAAGGTCATCCACCCAGTCCTACAGCAATACTTGAGGAGTCAAGGCATCATCGTGATAGAGAGACTGGGAATCACTCTCATGGAGCCACTTATTCAGCTGACAGGTAGGCCTCCATGTAGGCATGAACCTGTCAGCAGATTTATCATTGCAGATACACGTTGTACAGACAAAACCTAATTTGTAATAGTGGTCAAGGTCATTACACGAAGTATAATGATCTTGTTGCAGTAATTTATCTGATGTAATATTACAGCAATTAAAATAGTTATTTCACTTTATATATGTGTGATGAACATTAACTTTAGCAAAGGAAACACTGGAATAAGCAAATGTTATATCAATGTAAAAGAATTTTCCAACTTTGAAGCTACTTGAGGGGAATGTGTGCTACATGAGTATAGTCTAACTTGTACTTTAATTACTCTGCTCTGTATCTGAGATCCTGTTTCATATCTATTTTAACAAATAGGTGCTCAACCTGTGGCCACATTACATGCCACACTCCCAGCCAAGGCCTACGGGAAAGTGAGGGATCTCACTATTAGGCAGTTTGGATCCAAGACAATGCTGCATTTACATGCTCCTGGGGATTCCGCAATCTGCACAATGGTCCTCTGCCACAGGAACGAGACAATGCTAAGTGAGCTGAAGGTAAAATAAAGTGTGGAGTATTCAATTCATATCATCATGTGTATCTCCTTCCTACTAAAATCTACTATCTGAACCAAATATTATTCAGTAAAGATGAAATATAATTAATAATATATGGCCCAATAAAGCACAGTCTTTCACTAACTAAACCAGGGGAAAGAAGAGATTACATTCTTCTACAGCATTTTTGATAAAAGTATCCATCAACTTGCCTCAGATATTTTTTAAACATATTTTAAAAAGCCTACAAATGCTTGTCAATACAATAAACTTTATTTGTCCCCACAGGGGAATTATTACACACAGATATCAGCTTGCAATGTCCATTAATGCTTAATGTCCATTTATGTGTCTGTTAAAGGTGGTGTGCCAGAAGACGGAACATGTGTTGAGGCTCACCCTAAGGGAGCCCTCCGCATTACTTGGAGGTGGGTGTACCGAGACCCACTTAGCTGCTTACGTCAGACACAAGGTGAGATCCAATAAAACCAGTCCGAATTTATTGATTTCACATATTTTCACAGCAATCTCATTATAACATGTCTTGATTATGCAATATTTTGAATATAGAGCGTGAATGAAGTAACAGAGACAGCATCGGTATTAGGATGCACACAGACAGAGTACCTTCGGGGCATGGAGGGATTCTGCCGCTCTCTGGAGTCTGTAGCCACAGCGCTGGAGCACAATGGCGAGAGTTCTTTAATCGATCTGATTTATGCTCACCACTGGACCCTCCCTGCAGATGCCATGACAGGATGCGTGGAGGATAGCTTGGGCTTCTGTGGCTGTGGCCTGATGGAAAGTAGCCCAAGTAAGAAGTGGACTTATCTAAACACTAAATACTCAGAGTTCTCACCTGCATCCCTGTGTAGAGACACTACTGTGCAGCCGTGTGTGCTGGACTCCTTCACAGCTAAACTCAATGCGTTGCAAGTGGCTGTAGAAACTGCTAATCTTGCACTAGATGTAAGATATATAATTCAAGATGTGAAGTAGTAGAAATTTTGTCTAGTGATGGATTTGGGTTTAAAGAGGGGAATGAATGCTGTTTTACTTTTCAAAGGCATAATACAGGTTAGACAGTAGCCACTGGGAATGTCTTGTCTCTATCCTTTGGTGTGGTCTTATGCTTAACCTCTATGTTAAGTCACTGACGGTTTTGTCAGTAATGTTACTAATAAATGCAGATTTCTATTCACTGATTACTGTCACCATTTTGTGAATGTGGTAGTCGATACAGGCTGTCCAAAACTGTACATTTCTAATTCACCACTCATCTCATCTACACTGCCAACCAATTACACTTTAACAATTTTAAATTACGTTTAAATTATTTCTGAGAGAGTATGCAAATGTAATGAATCAAAAGACTTCAGCTTCTATGGAACAATTCATCAACCCTTCACCATTACAAGTCAGAATGTTTCTGCTGCAGTGGCCTTTGTTCAGCACCAGGGGGTGCTGCAACAGATGCTGCCACATATTTTGTTGCCAGTACAGCACCAACAAACTACCAGCATTTTTCTGTTGGAATTTTCCGCTCTTTTTTTCCATTACATTTTGCTGAATCCAAAAAATGACCAGTCTGAACTTGCTGACTGGTAAGATAAACTGACAGATAAACAGCTATGTAAATAAAAAGTCTAACCAAAGGCAATCAAATGTTCCACCCTAACACCGTAACTGTTCACAGTGCTCTATGACATGGTGTAGACACTCTGACAGACCACATCTGGTGATTTCTGAACCAACTTACAGTCACTGTACAGAGATGTGTTATTTGTTATATATGTTATTTTGATTATTGCACATCTACTACTTGGATAACTTTATTTCTCCTCACAAAATCTCTTCCTGTGTGCACCAAGTTCACCAAGTGAGAAGTAAAATGAGTGCAGATTCCCTCTGCCGTTGGTTCAATCATTGTCTGCCCTTACAAGATGACCGCCAGGTGCTTTTTCTCTCAGAAGATGAATGGAATTAAAGCCTTTCGTAACTTGGGATAGTCTTTGAATTTCTTTTGATAAAACCTGTAACAGAGGGGGAAATGAAAACTATCACTCAGAAATTGAATATGGTGAAGTTGGATAAGTTTGACAGGGGAGTATTAATGTACTGTGATAGGACTGCTCAGCTTTTTTGGAATGTCTTAGGCACCTGTGATGGTAATAGGCTCTTGGTCCAATGAAACTCAGGCTAAAGACAGCAAATGAGAGGGCTGGAAGAGACCAGGTGGCCACAGCAAAGCCAAACCACTCCACGATCTCTCCTAAGTAGTTGGCACCAGACACATATTCAAACAGACCTCCTGCAGGAGAGGAAGAAGACCACAGGTCACTATGAGTACAGAACCAATGGAAGTTAACTAATGTGTCATCTCTGGTTTCTTACCTGTAGGAATCTTGTAACTTACTTCTCCTGGTTTCCTCAGGTTACGAAGAATATAGTCACTGTGTATATTGATGGCCATTCCAACGTAAAACAGCACTAAACCTAGAAGAAATACTGACTTGTACATGGCTGGCTTAATGTATAAAGCACACAAATGGACTGAAACAGTTCCTCTGGCCTTTGTGTTTAAAAAAAAAAAGAATAGATACTGCTCCTACCAGTTTTACAGCGATAGTCAGCTGACCATTCATCATCAAAGTGAGCACAGTGCAACAGGTAGTGTCCCTGCAGGAAACCATTCAGAGTGCAGAAGAAACCTGCTGCCACCATCACACCCAGTGGGAAAGGCCTTCCTCTGGTCAGTAGGGAATAGACAAATGTCCTATGATTGGAAAGGAAATAGTAGGTACAGTAGGTGGTAAGAGGACAGAATAATTGTACTTTTCCTCCTATGCTCTATAGCATTGGCAAAGAACATATTTTACAACCAGGTGGAGGTATTCTGAAAAAATCGTTTTGCATTTAAGTGCAGGCAAAAAGGTTCCATTAAGCCCCACTCGTCATGGGTGGTTACGAATGCATTCCTCACAGCGCTTTAGCCTTCAGATTATAACAACAGGAGATCTCATTTTTAAAGCTCCTTTTTTCAGTGGCCACCTGAAAGTGTTTGGCTCTTGCTTTCACTTAAAAAGTGGCTGAATAGGCTACATCTAGTACCTGTAGGTACACTGGCAGAATAATGATAAAAGATGGTAATAACACATTTTGTTGTTTTCTGTCAAGAAACACAAAATGATGGACTGCAACTGTCCATTAAAAATAGGAGTTATAACTAAGAAAATGTATAGTTTGTTTCATGTTACACTGGTGGATCAATAAACAAATATATGAATACAAACAGTAGAAAAACAATACAATACCCTGTGCTCAAACAGGCTGAGTAAATTTTAGACAAATATAACAAAATAACTCAATCTAAAATATGTATGATATTATTGTGTAGGCATAAGACAATATAAAGCTAAATACATCAATAAATGAGAAAAACTATGAACCTCATCAAATCAGTGCATTAAGATGAAACAGCAAATGAATTTGTAAGTCAAATGTGAAAAACCTGACATTTTAATCCTTCTTTTGTATTTTGATTGAATGGGGGGTGTGCATAACTCCAAAGACACTGATCACTCTCATGTATCTTAAAGTACATTATCACACTTCCCTTCACATACACATCAAACCACCCCAACCCAAGGCTCATGTCTCTGCGTTTACCTTTGAAAGTAGTGCGTGCAAAAGGTCCCAAGCAGCAGGTGCTTCCCTGTAATGGAGGGTTTGTGCGAGGTAAGCATTAAAAGTAGGGGCGCCAGGAGAGCTGGTATCTCCTGGAGGAACCAGGCTAGTCTGGCTGGGACTGTCCTAGCTGGAGGAGAGAGTACCATATGGCGCCCATAGGAGGTTTGTGTCTTCCTGTGATGGACCAAGTGCCCGAGTCCCATCAGGATGATCCCAGAGCTGAGACAGTTGACCAAGTCCTCATAGCAGTGCATCTTGCAGGTCCTCGCCTCAGGGCCAGCGAGTGTTGCAGTAATTTCTTCTGCTCATAAACTAATCTTTAAGCGTCTGTATAAAGTTAAATGGCTCTAAAAAGCCTCTCTGACTCCTCCCAAAGCAAAGAGAGAGGAGTGTCAGCCTGCTGAAACATGAGACTGCTCTCTTTGTCACAGCCTTGGTACTAATACTGAGAGAGGTGAGGTTATGATTATCTTCTCCACCTTGTAATGCAAGCCCTGATGCAAATACTGAATTTCCCAAAGCTACAATCGGAGCCATAGTCCGTTGCTACATACCTGCTCTGCCTGTCAATCTTGTTTACAGACACACAGCAGCATCTGCACCAATATCAAACTGTGTGGCTTTACTTATCAACAGATTTGCATGTGCATGTGCATGTACTAAATAATCCATAGATAATTGTTTGGTATAGTGCTCAAACAAGTTTTTTAATTTCTTTGTGGTTTGAAATGTACAACCCAGTGTAATTGGGAGTACAATAGTGAAATTAATGTGATTCAGTCAAATTCGGCCACAGCAAAGGCAAAACTATTAGCTTTACTCATCAAGACAGTAACCTGTTCTTCCTGATCTGAGCACTGCCTTTCCTGGATGACTCACTGAAAACATTACACAGCAACTGAATATAGTTTGAACAATGAATGTGCAGGCATTTGTAACAATCTGGTAATTACTACAGGGAGATTCTGTATCTTGTGAGCTGTGGTTATGCACTATATGAAAACAAACTGAACTACTTTATTTATTTATTTTTTTCCTTTTTGAGTTTTTCTTGTCAACCTCAGCTTATACAGCCTCCTGCCTCCAACTGATGCTGGTCTGTCTGAAGACAGAAAGTCATTTTGAAGGCAGTGGCATTTGGGTGGGCTTATTGTGTATATTGTATCCTTACGTATGGATGTCCCAGCGTCCAAATTCATTATTAGTTTCATTCATTATTATTATTTAAGTGTCAGTTGCAATACACAGAAGTCAGTTATCCTGATTGTTATTTGATGTCAGTGGTCAGATTTTATTTTTTTAAGAGATGAAATAAACTGTTTGGAGAGGTGTTGATTCAGCTTGTTTGTGATATTTACCCTCACTGATATACTAGATGGGGTAGACAAAATTACAAACTCCTCTCCGTATAACACGGATCAACAGCACCGTAAACATCCTCCAAAATGACCATACAGTTGAGTCAACACTTCTCTAAAACAGTTGCAACAAAAACTGAACATTATAATCTTCATGAAGGGAGGACTTATTGCAGGACTGTTGTATTAGCCTGCATTAATATTAGCTAGGTGTACCTAATAATAAATAATAAAAACCAATATTCCTCCAGCCACGCAGCTCCCTCTGCTGGTGATGTTTCTAAATGTCTCCACTGTAAATTGACACTGGATAAAAATAGTAAATATTTATCCTAACCAGGATGTCTACATTAGCAGTACACAATATGCAGCACTGCGCTGTTTACAACCAAACTAACGCCCATGTCCCAACTGCTGCAGTGCTAAAAAATGTATTTGGTTATTAATCTTTTGCACCCTTGGAGGAGTAAACAACATATTGATTGAAGACAGTGATTAAAAACCAAGTCAATATTTTGTGTGATTGTAAATACTTGAAGAACAAGACACCAGAGCACACATGCTTTCAGTACATTTTACTTGTTTTGTAACATGAATCCTCGGCCTTATCTGAAGAGCCTTTTGGGATGCTTTGTCAGTGGAACCTGAGATCAAAACAACTCCATTTAGGGAGTAGTTAAGTAGTATATTTTAGGTTTGTGACGTGTAAGTTCCCATTCTCTAAGCAAGAAAAAAAAGATAATACAAAAACCATTTCTAAAAGACAAACAAAGATCCATAAACACAAAATGAACAGTGTTGAGGTTCAGCCTTTGTCTCTCTCTCTCTCTACAGGAATGAGGTGAGGTGGAGAAAACTGAACACCACTCCCTGCTGGAGAAAGGAGATAACAGTTGGTGCCATTTCAGACCAACAGATGAGGGACAGGTCACACACTCCTGGAGTGCTGGGTGAGCTGGAGACATTGTTGGGTACTCGGCAAGGGAGAGGGTACATGTGGAAAAACAAAGAACTGAAAGTACACATTCTAAAATAAGACTAAAAGTGAGAATACGTTTTAAATGTATATGTGCAACAGTGATAAAAGGCACAATAGCACAGTGTGTCATGCTTTACTAGTTTCCTTTAAATTAACGTCAGAGGTCAAGTGAGTTTGGGGATTCATCTTTCAGTCTGTGCTCACTTGATGCAACCAGATATTAACAGTTGCTTAATGCTTATGGTGCCGAGAGAGGGGGACCGATGTTAAAGGACTGCATCATTTCAATGGGAATACTTGTATTCAGCAGCAAAAGTCAGTCAGTGATAAGTGATGTTCAAATCTCAAATGACAGGACAGCAGACATCGTGTGCTGCCTATATCATACTGTCACCGAAAGCCTATACTGCCACTATGAATCATCAGGTTTTTGCATTTAGGTTTTGTACATCATCATCACACATGGAAATATTACAGGAGTATTTCAGGCAGCGTACTACACAGCAAATAACTTGGAAAAAGACAGTAAAATTTTCTTTTCTTTTGTTAATAACTGCAATTTTTTTGCTTGACATTTCATAATGGAAATATTCATGTTTCTTAACATATTCACATCCGTTTAATCCAAAATAGAGCAGGGAGCAACATCTGTCACTTTTCTGGGTAGATAATCAAACCTTAAATCATTATGACTTTGTGCTGATCTTAAAACATGGGCCATCTCTAGCTCACCTCATCTAATTAATCATCCTACTGCCGACCATAATTTTGAAGTGAATTGTCATTCACCGAGAAGTAACAAAACAGGGGAACAAACCTGTAAATAAGGATGAAGGCTTAAATCTTCCCAATAACATTTGGCATTCTTAAATCAAAACATATCAACAAAAAGAGCTGTAAATTACTCCCAAGTGAATAGATTTAGTAACAGTTCCTACCATTTAAGCAGACCATCTAGGCCTTTACCACCCAAAAAAAAAACAAAAAAAAACCAAAGCTTGCTCTCACAGAACTGAATGTGTAACAAAAGACATTTTCTACCAGTCTAGCATCAGTCTTCTATACTGACAATTCAATAACTACAGGGATTCATGGTGGTGGTGTAAACAAAGACTAAAGTGTTAGTCATTTACACAGTATCCAGCTTTGATTACATTTCTGTGGCACCCATAACTGCAGTCTAGCCCCAGCAAAACATATCTATAATGCTACAAGCACATAACTGGAATCTGGGAGCAGTGTTGCATACACTAATTTAACAGGCAAACCATGTTACTGGCTTTAGAGCTTAACTGACAACACTGCTTCTGTTCAAATCTACACACTACTTGAGTAAATACTATCAAGTATAATAACACTACTAAAGGGAGAAATAAAAGGAACAGAATATGAATAAAAGATAATATTTAATAAACTAATATAAGAGTAATAATGTTTTTGGTTTTGTACAGGGGGTTAGTGAACGTTGTTGGGTGTAGCCCTTTGTTAGCAACTACAATATATGTTAGCGACGGTAGTATGACACTGTTCTCAAAATTTTAATTGCATGTAGCTTAAAGCAATCAATCAAAACACTCATTTCATTTTCATCTGGCAACATTTCAGTATTCTCCATCAAGATCTGCAGTTTTATTTTTCTTTCCTTTTCTGAGGCAAATTACATGAGCACAGATTGCCAAGAGTCCAAACGTAAAGATTGCATTACAACTCAAATCCATCGTTTGTCAGGAAAAACAAAAAGGGACTAAGAGGACAGCTACAGTCCTTGCAAAAACCCCAATAAGATTTCCCCTTCCCGACGCATACGCTGAGCCAAATGAATGCGCACTCGTCCTATCTCCTCAAACCATTTGCTCCAACATACTCTCAAAACTGCACTTCAAGCAAAATGTATCAACCAAAAGCTCTGAGACACACTTCAAACCGAGAGGAGGGTGGAGAAAGGCGGAGGAGAGTTGAGGGAGAGACAGAGAAAGAAGACTGTATTGGCTTCGAGTGTCTAGGTCCTTCCTGCAAATAGTGGGCGTAACTTGGGGTTGGGTGAGAGGGATGGTGTCTGGGTCAGGTTATGGCGATAGATAGTAAGGACATGGCGGCGGCGCTGCTGTGGCCCCTGCCTCAATGTCAACCTCAATGAACGATGAGTGCCCCAGCAGCGTAACTCACAGAGCTGTCCTGCCAGTTCCTGCACTCACTTGACTGGGCGTAGTTCAGGAAAGTGAAGTTCATTTCTAAACCAGACTTCCTCAGCTCGGCCACAGCCTGCAAAATAAAAACATCCACTTGGTCATTGATTCATACCTTGCGCCACGCCAAGCGTAATTACACACACAGATAAGGACAGCGTCCCATTGTCATGACACGGGTTACAGGTTATCTTAAATAAAATAACAGTTTCCTTTTCATACTTAAAATACTAGGACTAACTAACTATACATTGCAATACAAGATCAATTCTAATTCTTTATTTTTTGCTTTGGACATGCAGCTTTAGCCTCAGTCTTTTAGCAGAATGTAGTGAATGTTACAGATGGAAGAATAATCTTGCAACAGCTGTCATTTCTGCCAGCCAAATGACAGAAATGAGAGAAGTAAACAAGAAGCTGCTTTTTTTGACCACCGTCTGAAATCAAGGACCCGTTGTATCGAAAATTACAAATAATTCTGGGTCTTCAATATGCCACCGTTGTCATTACAAGCTTTTGCACTGTATGAGAACGGAAAGCTTGATGCTGAAGCCTAGCCACTTAGTTACTACGTTCAGTCAACTGAACCACCATCAACCATGTTAAATACTTATAAACATGAGTCTCTTCTTCTGTGGTACGTACATTTAGCAGCACTCCAATTGGGTGACGCCCACAGATGGTGTTGCGGTACTTCTTCAAGTAGTTGGTGAAAGACATGGGATCCAGCTGCTCTATAATACCCATCCCCTTCACAAGCAGAGAAAAAAAGTGGAACAAACATTTATATATTTTAGATAAAGACATGACCATCCTAAAAGTTATTATTTTATAGGTAGGTTATTTTCATAGAGAAATTACATTAAAACTAATTATTTTTCAAATTTTGAATCTGCTGTTCTATGCCATTATACATAAAGGAGGACAACTACTTCCCATGTTTCAAACTGTTTTGTTGTTATATTGCATGTCTCAATGAATTTATGTTTACTTTACATTCAAGTACTTTGTAATATAATAGCAGTACTTCCTGGAAGCTGTGTGTTCAAGAAAACAAGCCTTATCACAAGAATTATAATAATCACATTTTCTCTGTGCCTCTCTGTATTTTAAACTTCCTGAAAAATGATATATTTATAGCAGCTACATTGAAGTACACAGTCACATTAAGGGCACATGAAGTATTTAAAATGCCAATGCTATTGTTCATACAAGTATTATGAGTGTCATGGTAACATTAATGTCATATTAATATGTCCTGCACTGCATTATCATAACAGTTGTGCATGTGGCTGATGACAGTCACACATATCTCTGTGGTTACCATTTTATCAAGATGCTCAATAGACCTGTAGATCTCCCCTTGAGATTCATCGTAGTATGTGTAACGGAACCGCTGACCTTCAAAAGAGAAATGGACATCAGAGCAAAGCTGGACACAGGTATATCACATTTATGACATTTGGGGCAGAATTATCCTGAGATCACAAACTATTCTTTTATTGACAGGATAATCTCAGAGAGTGGGTGTTATTTTCATTGATTTTTATTCATCAGTACTTACCCCAGTGGCAGAAGTCAGATGAGATGATGAAAAGGTTGGAGGGGTCTGCCAGATACTTGCTGAGCAGCTTCCCATATTCCTGTTCCTTAGATTCGCTCAGGGCTCCCACAAGCACAGGGACGATGCTAAACTCGTCTTTGTGGCTGCAACATCAGATTATTGAATTAAAAACTTTAGTACAACTGCACCTCTCTGTCAAAATTGTGTCCAAGGGGCACAGGTGGAAATAAAATCAGCATTAATACAATAAGAGCATCCATCAGTGAAAAGTAATGGGAAAACTCACTAGTGAGTTGCACCTTTATACCCTTCATACATCTACATTAATAATGTTTTTCAACGGGTTTTAGTGAAAGTCGTATGGACAATATGTCTTGAGCTAATGAACTTCACCTCATATTACCTCATCCCTGCTTTTCTGAACCAAGAAATTGCCTCTGACTCCTTCCAACCTAACAGAAGGCTATATCAATTATGCATATCATACTTTCTATGAGTCCCTGCACCAGTGTGAGTTTACAGAATGTATAGAAAGATCTTTTGCACTGTTTTCTTGTTTGGTCAATGATAATTGAGAAAAAGCTTCATTCTGTGAAACCAGTTTATAGTAAGTGTATAGTTTCACTCCTATGTGCATTACCTCTCCATGGCTTTAGCAGTGTAAGGCAAGTGCATTTCAATACTGTGCTCATCTTCATCTGTCTGCAGAGTCATCCGCTCAAACAACCCAGTTTTCCAGAGGTCAGCATAAACTGTAAAACACAGGTGAGTTTCACTTTAATTTTTGCATGTTATCATGGCCATGTCTTCTGATAAAGACCCTTTTGGAGATCATTTAAATTGGGAATCCTGACAAGTGCCTAGCTGAGTGAAACCTCATCATTGAGAAAGCCTTTTATCCTAAGAGTCAGGGAACTGTCTGGTCCCTCGAGGATCATTAAAAGTGTATCACCTCCCAAGACTGCTTGAGGTCAGCATGTTAGAGCTCTATTCAGGCTAGACTAGAACAATCAAGATAAAGAAAGGGCCTAACAAACCTCTATGGTTGTATTTTTACACCTTTTTTAAGTACAGGGTTCTAAAATGACTGAAAAACACTAAAACCTAAACCAAACTGTGGTTATGTCACTCCCTCACATCACAATTGAAATACCCTCCTAAATAACTGACCGGTTATAATGTGTTTACATGTGGGACTGAGCAACAAACACAGAAAAAAGTAGAAATCAAATTGCAAGGAGTGAAAACAGTAAATACCCTTCTGGTCGATTCTCAGGTCATAGAGAGGTGTTCTATAGATGTCTGCAGGTGACAGGGCACAGCGGGAGAGGGGCACATGGTGTGAAGGTCCCAGGATGAACACCCTACGACTGAAGGGCAACAGGACTTTATCTCACTCCTTTCAGAAACACCGCTGGTACTATATTCTACTATCTAAACTAACATCTGTTCATTCTGTGGAAGTTAATGTAAGATAAGAAACAGTCATACAAAGCACTTTCTTGAGTAAGGAAAAGAGATACAAAACAGAATGACTTACGTAATAGAAGGATCAACCTGCTTGTAGGCATGTGCTGCACAAGCACCACAGTAGGTATAACCAGCATGTCTGCAAACATAAACATGTCAAAGTGGAATGAGATGGCATCACAGATGCCATTTGACATGCTCATTTTATCTTTCCTTCCAATTGTCAACATGTGCTTACGGCGCTATGATGGCTCTAGCAGGTCTGATCGTGGACTGTGCTTGGGACAGCCAGCCCTCTAGTTGTGCATTCAGCTGGGATCCTGAATAGGTAGAATTTAAAAAGAAAACAAACAAAAAAAACAATTTAAAAAATAATTTTATTTCTGATCATTAAAGGTTATTAAAGATGAGCCAGCAACTCATACTGCTCTCTCTATGCCTCCCCACAAGACTAAGAATGACATAGTGGGTCAGCACTAACCAATAACACTAAAAACATAATTGTCTGATCAATACAAATAGGATTTGATAGATACAGGACAGCCACAAGCATAGAACACTAAGATCAAGGTAATTTTGGTATCATTATGTCACTGTAATAATTCCAATGGAGTGAGATTATAAACATGCTACTGTGGTTGTAATGGAACACACTGCCCGGTTTTACTGTACAAACCACCAGTGTTACTCTCTACCAGTGTCCACAGCTGCTGACATTATGTCAACATCAATCAAAGGTAGCTAAATGATTCTATAATTAAATCTGAAGGAAAAACAAACAACTGATATAATTAGTGTTGTAAAAAAAAAAAAAATGAACAAGGACATCGAGGGGGGGAGGTTACGTTAGCTCAACCTTTAGATGAGTTTATGGACATATTATTGTTTATATAAAGCTTTCTGTAGTGTTTTAACTACTGTATGTGGTCTGTTGAAAACGATTTTTACTAACAATGCCGTGAGGTAAGCTTATAAATGACAGCCAGACAGCCTTGCAGGGTTTAAAAGAAAGAAACTAGCGGCTAGCCAGTGAAATGGGGGAAGGGGTGCAACACGAACCAATTTTCTGCCCTGCCCTACTCAGTCCTTTGTTTCATGGCAGGTAGTATTTCTACACTAAGGAGAGTCAGGGTCAGGGACCACCAAGAAGACCATAACAATAATGGCAGCTTCAGTTAAAACAGTTCCTGTCAAGCTGTTACGGAAATGTATAATCTGGTCAGATAGCAGGTAGGCCAGGAAGTTCTGCATTATTAGCCAAGTTAGCTATTGTTGAGATGATTGCTTGTCAAAAATGCTGAGCAGCAGATGTCAGTTTGTTTAGAAACATTTCAATCGACTACCCGAGGAGGAAAAGCTGAATAAGCTCAAACCAACCCTGCACCAAATGGGATAACAGACGAGGCAGTCAATACAAGCTATATTTTAGCTAGCCGACTTTTCATCAACTGGATTACCGTTACAACCCTAACATTTATCACTGTCCCCTATGGCAAGACATGAATTCGACCGTTTTTCATCTCAAGATAATGAAGGTTATACAAAATAAAAACAACAAAAACAATTCAATACACTGCCATGAGAAAAAACACCAGCCAGCTAGCATACAGCGTGCTAACGCCGACGGTGCTCTGTTGACAGTTACCCGAAGCAGAGTACCAGCTCCCGGCGTGACTTGCTTCTCTGCACACAGCTCGGTTCGACATCTTGGTTCCCAAGCCGCCTATCTTGGTCTGCTTAACCCTTGTCAGGCGAAAAATAAAATTGCAAGAGCCGGCGTTCGCTAACCCAGAGAAGAAACAACGCCTGCCAGCTCACTTGCTTGTAAAGACAAAGGGCAGTCCGACTGGAGAGACAGCTGGGAAAGCAGGCTAACAAGATCAGTGCTCCGTCAGCTGGCTTCTGTGTTGTTACCGGTTATGAAGTTAGCCAGAGAGAGCAGCTAACGGTGAGTTTGTTAGACAGTTAGACACTGGCAAAGGTATCATGCAAATTTGAAAAGGCACAAACTACAAATATTGTAATGTGCTAACACTGAACAGCCAGGAGAGCAAAACCAAGAGCAGTAGCTGTCACAGCCAGATCTGAGGATTACTGGGTTGTCTATCGAGCCAGGTATGGGGCGTCTCTGATACGGTAATCACAGTCACGTCAGAGCGTTTTGATTGGTTGTTGGATTAGCAAACACAAATTGATTCGTTTAAAAATCCAGGAGGCGTGGCCGTTACTAAGATGGTAGTTTGGTCATGAAATTGCTCTGCCCGCCAGGTGAGCGGGTACAGTCTGCCAATGGAAGCAGGACTGTCCGTGTGCTGTCAACCAAATGTCATTTGTGTGCTCCTCTCACAAGAGAAAAGTGGTGTTTGCCATTACATTAAAATGATGACAGAAGCGATTTAGTACTGAGTAGCAACTAAGCCCTTGTTTTCTCCATTTAGAAAGACCATTAATCATCTTTTAACACCGTTGAAAATGAAAATCTCTCCTCACAGTTTATTCTCTGTAATCTATGAACATATTAACTGTGATGATTGTAAATTGATCTTTTTGCAATACACAAAAAACTTAGAAACTAGGATGGGAAAAGTGAGATAGGAAAACATAACAGTCAAAGGCCCACTATATGTCAAATCTCTATGGAGATGGTCAATATATTATCACCAATAATTTTAGTAGATGGGTGTTCTATTATTTAATGCAAATCTGTTCCAGAAAATTATAACTTTTCAAGGGTTATTCCAGTCTTCTTTATTGTGGACAAGGCTGAGTCACACAACTCCACAACTTCCCACTTCCCACTGCAAAACATCATAGACCAAAAGTCTTAAAACACACTAATAAGGCTATCTTATGTGGCAGTTTTTTGTTTTTTTTTTACATGGGAGAAGACCACAGTTTGCCTTTTGTGTCTATATAAATGTTTTATGCTTTTCACTCATCATTTTGGAGCACTGTCTTAGTCCCTTATGTTTTTCTTTGCTGTACAAAGAATAGTGTTGGGAGAAGGAAGTTGTCAAGTGCCATAGACAATGAACTGTTTAAATAGGGGAGGACCTCTGATCCCCAAAAAAGATTTTTCTGCATTGTGTAAAAGTGAATATTTGTTACTGTCTGTTTCTTAGAAAACCATGTCTCCTGGTGTTCATTTGTGCAAAATAAATTACACTCACACTGTTGAAAAACAAATCCAGTCAGAGCTGTATCTCAAAATGTTTGTGATTATTGTCGGAGAACTGTGTTAGACGGGAACATGTATTTTTAACAGGCAGTGTCATTGTGTATATAAAAGTATAATCAAATCTGAAAAACCATGTGAATAGCCCACCACAATCTGCAAACTTGTGCAATACCATATAAATGATGTCTTTACAGTATGCACTGATTTTTTTTAATGATTGACTAGTTTGGATGACTGCTTCATTTAACATTTAGCCTCCTGTTTTGCTCCGAAATATCCTGTTTTTTCCCATAACTCTTAGTTTTGTTTAAAAATGTGGTTCTTTTTTTAAATTGTTAGTAAACTGAGGCCTGGCAAAGTCTGATGAGAGATGAGCATGAAATGAAAAGATGAGCCTTTTTGATTTTAGCAACAACATGGCTGTACCTCTGTCCCACAAACCTTCCTAGGTTGTGTTTTTTTTTTTTTACTTTTCAGTATTGCGGTATTTCCTGTTTTATTTCTTTTTCACTTAACTCTCCTGTTGTTTCACATCCCCATTTCCAGCCCTTGTGTGTCTTCCAGTCACATCTCCTCCAAGGTTAGTACTTGTGGTTTACTTACTTCTTTAGTTTCTTTTGACTTAACCTTTGTCCAGCCCTTCTGGACTAATTTGCCTGCACCTCTGTCTGCCTGTGCACCTGAACATGAAAGATGTCTGTATTCTAACACAGATTTTTGGCAACAGAGGATGCAGTGTAAGTGCTGAGAGTCATATACATTTTTTTTAAATCCATGTGGTGCTACTCCACAGAAAAAGACTAAGACCTGCTGAGGTCATATGATTTCCTGCAGGTTTCCGGTACGGCTCAGGCAGTGACAGCAGTGTCTGTTGTGGCTGCCTGCCATGTTGTCTGCAACCAGGCACTCTTCAGGGAGAGAGGTTAGGGAGCGTTACCAAGAAACACTCTTTTCAGAGATATGGTTTAATCAAAGAAATTTCATGGGTTGTACATGTTCAGAAAGTTGTTGACAAATGTACGAAATTACTAAAGCAGATGGAACTGCTTTGAAGGCCATATACAGTGGCTTAATTGGATCAATATTAGATTATGGTTGTGTGGTGTGAGATCAGCAGCAAGTATCATTGGAAATGAGGACACAGCTATCACTGAATTACTGGGTTAATTTACAAGACCATATAGTCATGATCACCCAACACAAAGCGATGCAGTGGACTGAAAGGAGGAGGAGGGGAAAGGATGGTAATTTTATAGAGGTCAAAGAAAAGTGGGAGAAATGAAGTGTGCAGGAAGGCCCAGGAGAGATGAGACCATTATATCAAGACTACGATTTGGACACACTGGACTAAACAGTACACTATTCAAATATAAAACAGTAAACATAATACAGGCGTTTGTGACTGTGGGCAAGAAGAAGCGGTAGGGCATGTTATACTACACTATCAGGAATATGAGGCAGAACGAAAGCGGCTGAGCCCCCCCCCCCCCTTATATTGTAAATATTAGACGTTGTGATTCACACTCCACACCAGTTGGTGGCGGTAATGCAACTGTTCATTGTTTGCTCACCGCCATTCAACCTCAAACAAGAAGACTGTCATCGAGCGTACGGTGAACACACGGAATTGCGGAAGTTGGCGTTGGAAATGTTTGTGTAGTGATGAGGAGCCATTATTATTGTTACATATGTGACAAAAAGACTGACTAGGTACATTTCACCGTATCCTTTTTTTTACAGGTGGCTTACTCTGAGAATAAGGAGACAGTATCGCGATGTCGGTCAAAATGAACGCAAGTAAAGGCAAAGACAGCGGCGAAGTTATCAGAAACTACCATAAGCAGGCGTTTGAATATATATCGAAAGCATTAAGGATCGACGAAGATGATACAGGTTTGTTTGCTGCGTTTCTGAGCGATTAGCCGATGTGTTGTGGTGTGTGACAGCTCTTCATAAACACCCCGTCCCCTCTGTGATGACAGGTGAGAAGGAGGAGGCTGTGCAGTGGTACAAGAGAGGTATTTCTGAGCTTGAAAAGGGTATTGCAGTAGAGATCACGCCACAAGGTAACAAAAAAACAACAACAAAAAAACACCCAGATGTATATGATGTGCACTGTTGACATGCCTTAGCCCAATTCTCCATGTTTTGTTAGTAGGAGATCGAGAGCGAGCAAAGAGACTTCAAGACAAAATGGTCAACAATCTCACTATGGCAAAAGACAGGCTCGCCCTTTTAGGTAAGGGCCATCTTGGTTGTCTTACATCTTAAAGTCTAAACCAAATTAGTGTTGTTCATGTCATACAAACTGGGGATCAATACTGTCCTTGTTTCACAGAGGCAACACTTGCATCTAAAAGGAGGAATAATCCACAACCAAAACCTGTACCTAAAAGCCAGCCTGCAGTACCTGGTAACATCAGGCCCTCCTCTGCTGTCAGACCTAGAGCCACTGATCCAAAGGTGTGTGTGTGTGTTTTTACATCTTCTTATCCAGTTGTATGTTCTTTCAAGATGTCTGCTTCTGATGAAGTGTATAATGCTTTGGGGATATTTTTGTTCCTGCGAAGGTGACCCCACGAATGTCAAAGGTTCAAAATGGAAAACCTGCAGCGGCGAAACAGCCACCAAAGAGGGATTTGAAAAACTTCAAGAATGTGGACAGCAAACTGGCCAACTTGATTCTGAATGAAATTGTTGACAGGTATTTAAAAGCAATACTGTAACTCTTGTAAATTCTGCCGTCATTGACAATGTGAAAAAAAAGAAAGAAACGTGCTGCAGTTAAAGAAGTTTGCTCTGTTCATTGCAGTGGAGCATCTGTATCCTTTGGAGACATTGCTGGACAGGATCTGGCCAAGCAAGCATTACAAGAGATTGTGATCCTACCTGCCCTAAGACCAGAGGTGATCACTTATAAAAATTTTGTCCCTGCTATTTCAGATTTTCCTGTTATACTGTTATTCACATGCCATTTGCCTTTTAGCTCTTTACTGGCCTGAGAGCTCCGGCACGTGGTTTGCTTTTATTTGGCCCACCTGGAAATGGGAAAACCATGCTGGTAAGTTGAGCATTCTTTCCAACACAACAAACCAGTTCACTCAGACCAAACTGTGCTTTATCATTTGCCTATAGCTCTTGATAGTCTTGTCTCAGTGATATCGACTGAATCACAGCCTTTTCTTCCTCTTACAAGGCCAGAGCAGTTGCCGCTGAGTCAAATGCAACATTCTTCAACATCAGCGCTGCCAGTTTGACCTCTAAATATGTAAGAAAACACTTTCTCTTTAGGTCTTGACACTACACTAAATTTAGTGTTGTGTGTGTGTGTGTTTTTTTAACCTTTCCTGTGATCTCCATCACAGGTGGGAGAAGGTGAAAAGCTTGTACGAGCACTTTTTGCAGTTGCCAGAGAATTACAGCCCTCTGTCATCTTTATCGGTTTGTATGACTCTATTATAGAGTAGATGTGCCTCAAACAGTAATTTACCCCCGGATTCCAGCTCATAAAGAGACCTCTCAATTTTTATTTGACACTCAGATGAAGTGGACAGCTTGCTTTGTGAAAGGAGGGAGGGAGAAAATGATGCCTCTCGTCGACTAAAAACTGAGTTCCTCATTGAGTTTGATGGGGTAAGTGCAGCCTCTGAAATCTGATAATGAACCATCTTTGAGGTGTGTAAGTTACTTATTTCATAGAGCACTGGTGGTGTTTTCACAACAGTACCTCTTGGTTTTAGGTGCAGTCAGGGGGAGATGAAAGGGTCCTCGTAATGGGCGCAACCAACAGGCCTCAGGAGCTCGATGAAGCAGTACTGAGGTATATTATACCATCCTACATGCATAGTAGTAACAATACAGTCATTGTTTTTTGTTTTGTTTTTTTATACAAGGTTACCACCATTTTCCTCTTGTTTCTATCTACAGGCGCTTTGCAAAGAGAGTTTATGTGGGATTGCCAGATGAGCAGGTATTTACTGTAGAGGATTTATGACAGTTAATACACTACAGTCTTTTGTTAGCTTTGAAATGTGATCTTTTCCTATTTTTATCCCATTTCATTAAGTTATATTATGTAACTCTTGTTCCTCCAGACAAGATTCACACTGCTGAAAAATCTTTTGGGAAAGCATGGGAATCCACTGAGCAAAAATGAGCTGTCCAGTCTTGCAAAGTGAGTTCATATTTACACACCACACAGCCTTTACAAAGTCATTTTAATGTGACTTTGCATTAATTCCTGGATATGCAACTTGACAGACTGACTGCAGGATACTCAGGAAGTGATTTGACCTCATTAGCCAAAGATGCTGCACTCGGGCCGATTAGAGGTACGATCTATTTGTCACATTATTGTATTGATCATGTACTCATACTTTGGCCTCCATGATGGGCTCGATCGGATTGATTTTTATTGTGAAATCTCTCACAGAGTTGGGACCAGATCAAGTCCGGTATATGGCTGCTAATGAGGTGAGATAATGCCAATAAATTACTCGCAATATTGCAGATACATCTCCTTTATACTCATTTACCATTATGTAATTGTGTTATCCATATAATTATGCTCTTGTGTTCATTCACAGATGCGTAACATAAAGATGAAAGACTTTGAGGATTCCCTGAAGCGCATCAAGCCCAGTGTTAACCCAGCTACTCTCAACATGTATACTAAATGGAACAAAGATTTTGGTGACACAACAGCTTTTTGAACTTTATTGTTCATCGTCACTATTTAAAAAACAAGCGAACAAAAAAACACTGAAAATAAATCAATAAGTGGATTCCTGTCTTTTATATGGGAAAGGATTAGGGTCGCACGAAAAGAAAATTTTCACATGTCCCAATTTGGGACCAATAAATTACATTTTTCTAACCCTTTGTCAGTTGGTAAAGCCTTATGGATATAATGTATAAATATTATGACATTTGAAAGCATTATGGGTAAATTTCCTCTTTTCTGGAAAGGCTTTGCTAATACGTTTCTTTACTGTATTATTGAACTCCTAAAACACTGTCTTTCTACTTGAAATTACATTATTTATTCTCAAGAATGTCCTGCAAATTTCCAAATCATCTTTCCCTTGCCTCAAGAGGGCAGCAAGTTTCTGTAAATCCTGACATAACCTCACCGGTTTAGATTATTTCACACATCCATTCATTACCTGATGTAATGACTTGTTGATGGTATTGATCACCAAGTGCTCTCTGTACTTGTACACATGCAAGAGTGACAATAATTGGGAGAATATTTGCCATATGGTGCTTTTGTATTATAAAGGTTTTTCCATTTGCACTCCTTGTTTGTAGATACAAAAACTTGTATTTGAAAGTTGGAATTAATTATTGTTACCTCATTTTTTTTTTCAGAAATAATTATGACATTTAGTTAAAAGTATTTCATTGAGCAGAAGTAATGATCTCCCACTTTCCCCATGCATCAATAAATAAACTCATTAAAGTGTACACTTAATGGCTGCCTTTATTGCTATTCCCATAAAATAATATTGGTAAGGGTTGTCGATTTGAGGTATCCCAGAAAAGAAAGAAGAAAAGCTCTATGAGTATATTCTCATTTGCTTTTGATAAAGACAAACACATACAAGATAAACATTTTTTTATAGAGAAAAAGAAAATTCCAAAACACATATTTCCTAATTTACATCTGGGACAGACCTGGGAAGACTTGGGTGTTTCTCTGATTCGTTCACTCTTGTAGGCAGATGGTGCTGCAGTGCGGTTTTTGCATTTCATGTGCACTTCCTGTGGCTTCAAGTTGAAGATATTTAGCCTGCAACCACAGATGTGTGGAATGCAGTAAATTGCTATTAATGAAAATAAAGGCTGTGTTCTGCTGTGTTGACTGTCAAGTTGAATGATCAATTAAATTAAGTTTGAAGTTTTAAGCATGTCATGGTAGTTAGGGTTGGGGTTAGTCAGAGCCTCGAGGAAAAAAGTCACAGCGTTGATAAGTTTAAGACATTATGCAGCACTATGGTCAAGGTCGGAGACTCAGCTTGGACAGGGGTCACCAGCTGTCGGAGCATGGGTAATTCAATCTTAGTGAATGCTTCTGGTCAGCCATACATCTTTATTTCAGTGCACTAAAAAATTTCACTGAAATTCCACCTCTTTTCCAAAGGCCCTTCCTATGGTCAGCTGGTGGTGTTGCCTGTGGTTTATGTGGCCCAGCAGCTGCATCATCTGTTCCTACAGATGTTTACAGACTCTGCAGATGCAAACATTTTCTGCAATTAAAGTTTTTCAAGCTTGTCCTCCAAGCTTGAAGTTATCACGAGAATAAATAAAGAAAAAAGTCTCTATCCCGGAGCTGCAACCACACCTAGGACTACTCTCTTTCCCTCAGGGGAGAGATGTTGGCTGGAGTGTGTTTTTTAACTTGTCACGACTGAAGAGTCTCTTTCATGACGCCAGACAGGAATGGAGAGTGTTAGGGGTTAGGGTTTAGTCATCACCTTTTTTTTCTCTGTTTGCTCCTGACTGAACGCATCCTGCACAGTCAACAAATGGTCTTTATGACAGGCCATCTATTTAGTCATGTTATTTTCCCACCTTTCACCTTACATGTCTGAGTATAAAATATGTGCCTACAGGTGGTAAAGTGAACTAATCACCTCATATCAGCATTCTTACAAGCAATTTCTTTTAATACAACCTGTAATTACAGTCAAAATTACTTATCGTATGTACACAATGTGCATTAAATTTTATAACTGACAGAAGAGAAGACAGTATTATTGAAGTGGTTCAAACCTTGTATTTGATTGACAGCTTCCCTTTTTGGTTGCGTGTCAGAGTCCTGCACCTCCACAGTGGCTCATTGATGCTCTGACCACTACATCCACTCAAGGGAAAACAGAATAGGTGATCATTTGATACCTCCAGTGAAATAGCCCACCCTGTAGAGAGTAAAATAATAGTCAACACAGTGAGGACCTCTCACTGACTGAGCAAACAGTCTGTGAGTGTTTCTTCAAGTGGCCCATTATGAAAACAGTATGTGGATGAGAGGGTTTTGTTATACTGAGCGCACGTGTCTCACTTTAAGGCTGCAGGGATTATTCTTTGAGTTTGTGGAGGTATTAATTGTAAACTGGATATAATTTGTCAGTTGTTCTACCTTACAGTGTTACATTAGATGGTAAAAGACCAAAAGACACTGCACTGACTGTGTGCAGCACCATGTTGGAGATTGGCTCTGCAGCTTAAGTATTTTTAAGAAAAGCCTGATTGTAAATTGTTGAGCTGGTGGAAAGGGATTTCCTTCAAAATTTGGGATTTGGCCCTTTTATCACCCTTGGTTTAAATATGTTATTCAGGGCTTACACAGTGGAAAGCCTTCAGGGTTGAGTTGGGTCCACTTTCCAGCACTGGCTGCTACTGTTCCACTGGCCTGCACACCCAATACATAAGTTCATTTACCATGGGAGTGTTATCTTTCTCTCTCATGGGAGGCAAGAAGCCAAGTCTAATCATGTATCCAATGGCAACATCTGTCTTTTATGAGCAAATTTATTTTTCTTACTCACTGTTTATTTAGGGTGTGTGTATCAGTGGGTGTGTGTGAGTGGAAAAAATGGGGTGTTGGTATTCAGATATGTACATATATATGTATGTGAACACGGGCTTGTTGCTGGATCAACCTCAGCTTTGAGGAAGGTTTATAGGAATAGTTCAGTGTTTTGGAAAATAAGCTCTTTCGCTTTCTTGCCAAGAGTTTGACAAGAACATCATTACCACTGTCAAGTCTGTTCAGTAAATATGACGCTACAGCCAGCAGCCGGTTAGATTAGCTTACTATAGAGCCTGTATCCTGAGGGAAACAGCTAGCCTGGCTCTGTCCAAAGGTAACACTGTAAAACAACATGTTGTTGTTTCATTTCATTTTTGGGGGGGGTTTTCCCATCTTAATGCTAAACAAAGCTAATGGTTAACTGTACAGACATGAGAGTGTAGTCAATCTTCTCATTCAACTTTTCCCCAAAAGTATCACACAGTTCCTTTAACTGCTTTTCATCTAAAATCATTGACATCATCATATTTCTGAGGAAGTTAGCAGACTTTCATTACTTTTTAAAAAAAATTTTATTATCACTTAATCAGTGGGCTTTAGTAAGTGCTCTTAGCTAGTGCTACATAATTTTAAATCGAAATGATGGTCAGATGTGAGACGTGTAAGCAATGGGAATTGTGAAAGTATGCCATCCACTCTCAGCTCACGATGCAATCTAGTGAAGCTAAAATGAGAGTAGTATACATGCATCTGGCTTATGAGGAGCCCCGAGGAGATGTTTGTTTTTGCTTCCTATTTGTATTCGTGGAAAGCGTTTACAGTAACCACCTGACTGTTAAATTTTCACTCTAGCAGAGAGATAGGTCTGTGGTAAGGTCGGTAATAGCTGGTCTTACAACCTCACTATCTAATTTGGGAGGCCAACACCTTTTTCACAAGGTGTAGGAAGGAAACAGCTTGCGGAAAAGCAGCAGTTTTAAAAAATGTTGTAGCATGTATGTAGATGATTGATCAACAGAGGGATAAGGTTGCTTGAGCCCATGGGGGATTTTGGATAAAGTGGGGCTTTTTTTCTCTTTAAATGCTCTTTGCAGATTTATCTTATGTCTGCATGCCTTGAAATGAACCAAGTTAAGCTCATGTATTTCTCTCCCATTGTAGCCTGCAACCACAAAGCTGTAAAAGACAGAGGTGGACAGAGGAGAGTGAACTCTGTCATGCCCGCACATGACCTGCAAAGCCATTCATCTCAGTTACCTCCGTGAGGTTACAGGAGCCAAGCCCTTGTCTTTGACTTCATAGAAATTGTGCAGATGTATTAGACTTGACATCAGTCAATGCAGTTCATCAACATGTCTCTAAAAAGGTCTCACATCTGGATGGCCCTCTAGACAAAACATCACATATTATTTGCGTAAAAAACTAAATAAGGCTACATGCATCTATTAATGGAGGAGAACATTGATGGGCAAATATCCTCCCTAGATGATGCTCAGGATACATATTGAATTTGGACTGAGGTGTACATGTTAGGACGTGGTCTTGATGCGGGGAGGGGTAGAGAGACGATGCTGAGGGGAATGGTGTGCTGTCAGGGTGAGCTGCAGGCTGCCCCGCGGTGCATTCCTTCAACTCGTGTGCAGCCAAAACACTTGATGAAAAGTGAAAGTGCAGTGAGGACTGAGTGTTTTCACAAGAATAATGTCTGTCTGTTTGTCATTCTGCTTCCCCACTCCCCTTGTACTCCCCTTTTTATCTCTTTTTTGCCCTTCCCTTGGGTCATTCATGTGAGGACAAGAGTGGTGGTTAAGCTCCACCTCTGACCCCGGTCAGGTTCACTGTGCAGACAACCGGCCCATTCCTGTCTCACACTACTTGATTAGTGTAAATCCTGCCCTTAGAGTCCAGGATTACATTTAATACTTCAAAAAAGGTGATCTGATGATGATCATATTATATATTGTATTATAGGTGGTGTTTGTCATAGCCTTTGTTATAGTCACTTGGCAGGTGTGTTCAACTGACAGTGATGATGACCTTCAGTTGCACTTTTAGTGAACTCACACAGGACAGTGCCAAGAGTCCCAAATTATCACCTCTTTATAGCCATGTCCACTTAAAGCACTAAAAGGCCAGACTGTGAGAACATGCTCACAATAACAGTGCTAAAATGCCAACGTTTAGCAGGTAATGCTCACCATGTTCGCCATCTGAGTTAACAGTGACATTTGCTAATGATCACTAAACACAAAGTAAGGCTAAAATGTTATCATTGCAGGTATTCATAAATGAAATGACTGGACAAATTGAAATATTGGCCTGATGATAGCACTAGATGAAAAGGATCATCAAAGTCAAGATATTTCACTGAAAACCAAAAATATCAACCTTATGAAGGCACAAGAGGAAAAATCAGGGCCTCTGGGGACCATGGATGCCTCTATAGAACCTCATGTGAATCAATATTTAATAGTCACTGACTCAATAGTTGTCAATCAGGACCACAGTAATGGACCAACCAACTGATGTTGCCGTCCCTAGAGCCGCAAAGCTACCATGGCTAAAAACTGAACCTGATCACATCAAACTGACTGAGCTGGCAGAGAAGCACCATCAATAAACAAATCTGCTCTTCTTGATAAAATAATATCTTGAGATCCTTGCTAATGTGTTTCTAAGTCTATAAACTTAGGATCACAAAACACGCACAGCTGCTCTTATCAAAACATGCTTTTGTATGTGGGGGGATAGGTATGTGTACAAAGATGAAAGCAATTAAATGTAGGTCTTTTGAATATAATTTGCTGTGGCAGGTATTGAGAGCGTTAAGCACACATTTAAAACACACATTCCTGCCTTGGTATTAGCAATAGACCTGAAAGGACTAAAGCAGTTTGCAGAGTCACAGGTTTGCAGATCTGAACATGTTGAC